ATCCCCTTCAAAGTGTCGAGAGAAAGGGAATATACAGTAATGAAAATAACGTTTTATCCATCATCACGATACTATAATTACGAAGGAGAAGGTTAAGGGAAGTACTTGTTACCAATTGACCATTAGCATTACCTTGGAGGGTTCACTGATGGGACGACCAACCGGTCGATATGCTGGGACAGATGCGAAAGTGCATCGGCCCTGATGTTGGCACAGGTCCAACCACTTCTAAGCTCCTACAGATGCTGACGACGGCGGTGCAAAGATTTTTTTTTTTTCGCGAAACAGGTCAATACTTTCTTGTCATAAATACTAGAAATCGATCAACGAGGACAGTTTTCCGTATCGGTGCTCATCTTTCATTTGGTATTCTTACGATCCACCGAGCACGCATCGAGCCACGATCGCGAGAAACGTCGAACGTACATATTTCGGACGGGAAAAGTTTAACGAGGGAAATGTGTTTCCGCATCGCGACGCCATAAAGCGGGGAAAATGAAAATTCCTTTGATAAGTACACACACACACATGTAGCACGGGTCTTACAAGTCCAGGGAAACCCATCGCTTTGGTGAGTTTGAAACCCTTCGGAACTTGATGCACTTGGTCATATCGAGGATCTTGAAAGCTTTAGGAATCTCGCTGTAAAGCGGTGTATGCCTTTTTCATTGCGAGCATCGCGAAACTCGAGATGAAAAGCTCGAGGTTGATTGATGATTAAAGCCATATGTGATTGGAACAACTAGGTTTCCCCAGTAAACCACGCCTTCGAGAAAAACAAGAAAGCCTCGATGCTTGAACGTTTATTTCCAGGCGTCCATTTACGCGTGCCTTTAATTGCCAATTCTATCGAATTTCAGTTCCAGGGAACGAAACGTCTTTCTTCTTCACCGAGACTACTTAATTTTACTTCTTTCGAGGTAATTTTTTTTACGTTATCGCGTTCGTTAATATCTTTCAGCCCTTAAACGTCGCAGTTAATACCAGAACGAGTTCAACCATGTACCATAACACGATCTCGAATCGATTATAAACTTAGAAATTTAAGCAACGGAAAGTTTAAGGCGTGCGTTTAGTCTTCTCGAGGTTTCAACCGCGATAGAATATTATAGCGTGCCTCAGAAGCCAAAGTTGTTCTACCCATCTTTATTATGGTTTCTTCCCTAGTTTCGACACGCATGAAAAATTTGTTCCAACGTTTTCGATTCACCGTGTGCTTAATAAACATGCAGTTGCTTGTTCAGGGATAATAAAAATAGAATATTTGAATGGACACGGCATTGGCCGTACGAGATTCGCGCACTCGTATCAAATTTTCGAAATATGTGTAGATCCTCCAATCTGCGATGAATGCAGTAGTTAAATTACAAAAAACCGCTTAACGCTTCGATCCACGTATATTATCAGGCATACGTATTATACTTTGCTGATACCCCGTGTTAAGCCGGTTATTTTAAACTATAACCAATGTGGTAACAAAAAATGAAAGAATATACCGATTTCAACAGAAGGTTGGTACACTGATGTCGAAGAATGACGACACCATTTATATATTAGCCTCGTTTATTAACAAATTAGCGCTTGATAGCGTTGGTTTGTATACTCTTTATATTATTTATAATTCTCTATCGGTTCCCTAACTGGGAATTTGTCCTTTAATATTAAAATAATAAAGAAAAACTACTTCGATGAGCAGAAGCAACACAGAATGTGTAATGAATACTATTTGGTAAAGATAATTAGAAAGAATTCCCATAAGAGACAAAAAAAACTGCGTTAATAGAAATAACACAAAACTAATTCGTAAATAGAAGCAGGAGGTAATATTTATATAATGTCTTTTTCTTTTATACAGGGTGTATAAAAGAAGCCACTCCTGGGAAAAATTTTAATGGAAGATTCTAGACGCCAAAATAAGACGAAAATCAAGAATATCAATTTGCTGATGGAGGCTTCGTTAAAAAGTTAAAACAATTAAATTCAAAAATTTCAAATCGTTATAAAAAAATTATTTTCTGTTGCGCGGGTCAATTACAATCATTTTGGGTGAATAGACATACCTCCGAAATCCTATCCACTTTCGAGAAAAAAAATCGGGTAGGTGCTGAAATTTTTCGGCGAAAAAAAAATTTTTCAAATCGTTCTAAAAAAATTATTTTCGGTTGCGGGGGTCAATTACAATCATTTTTGGCGAATAGACATACCCCCGAAATCCTACCCACTTTCTAGAAAAAAATTCGAAAACGTGTGAAATTTTTTCACGAAAAAAAAAATTTCAAATCGTTTTGGAAAAATTATTTTCGGTTGTGGGGGTCAATTACAATCATTTTCGGTGAATAGACATACCTCCGCAATCTTATCCACTTTCGAGAAAAAAAATCAGGTAGGTGCTGAAATTTTTCGGCGAAAAAAAATTTTTGAAATTGTTTTGGAAAAATTATTTTCGGTTGCGGGGTTCAATTACAATCATTTTTGGTGAATAGACATACCCCCGAAATCTTGCTCATTTTCGAGAAAAAAATTCAGTACGCGCGGAACTTTAAACGTTAATAACTTTTTAACGAAGCTTCCATCAACAAATTGGTATTCTTGATTTTCGTCTTATTTTGGCCTCTAGAATCTCCCATTAAAATTTTTCCTAGGTGTGGCCGAACACCCTGTATAATGTGTTGTGGGTGAATAAACCAAACTGGATTTCACTATAAATAGAGATGATATTTATTAAGCAATAATTAAAGTTTCTTTACATTATTTACACTGTTTACAGATCCCTTACCTATAAACAGAGAAACCGCATTTACAGCTTATTCTTCCCTAACTTTCCTTCTTATACTAATTAATAACTTTTCCGTCTCTAATTCTCACTTATCTTCGTACACGTGTTTCTCCTCTTAATCCCGACTCGGTTTTCTTACCATTGTCTTATGTGGTTTCTATTACCGACGAGTTACGCGGCAAGATTCAAGTAGGTTTGTAAAGTAGTATCTGTACTACGTTATATTTACAAGAAACAAATTATAGTGTACGAATACCGAGTTTGAGCAACTGCATGTACGGGAATTTCATTTTGTAATAACAGTGGTTCGCAGTGGTTCGAATACCTCAGTGAGGGAAACTTTTGTATACTTTGGAAGTCGCAATGGTCGAACATCCGCGAATAGTCGAATAAACATGAAGGGGAAGCGTAGTTCCTTGCGGCTAATGTAATTACGGTTAAACCGAGTTTATAAATACGAAGAGAAGTAAGTCTCTCATGAGTTTAACAATTACGCATGGCTCTCCGGAGACCATCGCCTCGGTCGGGAAGTTAACCACGAGAGATCACGGTGTTGCTTATTTCGGGATTAGCATCGTCGTTGGTTTAAGAACAAACTGCTGGAATTCGCGCGAGAAAAAAGATCGGGAACGCGTATGGCCATGCTGCCTGTTGCATTTCCGTCGTTCTCACCCTCCTTTTCTTTCGTCCGTTTTTTCCTTTTGGCAAACAAACGGCACTTGGAACGGTTATTTTCCGGTACGAACTTTTTCGATTAGCGTATTGGAATAGGTTGTTGCTCGAACTCGTCGTTCGCGGATCGGGAAACGCGAACGTCGCGAATAAATCTCGCGGGACGATTCTCCGTTTAATCCTCTCGGTTTTCTGCAAATTCGCGGACAAGAATGTTCGAAAGCTCGTGGAAAAGCGACGGAAAAGCGTGAATCATTATTTGTCGAAAGTAAAAAATAAATTAATAGGCTATTCCTATAATCTACGCTATTTTTTACAAGAAATATTAACAGAATATAGTTTGCGACGAAAGGATTAAAGTAGCACGTTTCCAAGAAACTCTTGCTTAATTTCTCTAGAATACAATCTTTCGTTTTTACACGATGGTCATTATATTAAAAGGTTCTTCTTTCCAGCCTGTTCATTATCATTCAGCGAGTGTAATTCACTTTCGCAGTCGAGAATCCATTTAATTTGCTTAGTTATAAATGAGTTTTCGCAGAGCGTTACGAGTCCAGGTAATTTTCTCCCCTTTATAGAGCGTTTTAATGACATCGTAAAGCAAAAGGACCTCGCCTCTCTCGTCTTTATGTTACTACGAAACTCTTCTAAACTCGATTTCGCGTTCTTTTTGATTTCCCGGCGTAATAATAGATCCCGCGAGCTTTATCGAACGATTTATGAACTGCTTCTATCCGATTTCCAACCCGCCAGACTAATAACGAACGCCGAGAGCAATCTTTACGGTCTTGCGATTTGAATTTGGGATTCCCGGTGCACGTGGCATCGCCGACGACGGAGTACGCGTTTGATTTAGCTCCATTTGCGAGCAGAGGTTCGTAAATGCAAACCGTGGAAGGGCTCGTGATTTTACTACGGTCTTCGAACTGTCGTAAACTTCAGGAACACGCGAGCCCAGCCATAAGTTTTCTTTGCGTGTTTTCTTGAAATAAGATCATGGAATCGCTGTTTCCTTGGATACTCTTGTGTCAGCGCGTTAATCCTCTTCGTGCTTTCAATTTTTTATTCTCCCTTTTGTAACACAAATTAGGACATTGATAAACATTGAGAACTTGGCACGAATTTTATTCCTTTTTAAATAAACATTGTATTTCCCGTAATTTTGAATATTAATTAATACAATAAATGTATTAAGTAATACATTTTTTTTTATATATTCGTTTGGTTTTATTTTTGAATACGCTGTGTACGGTCCAAGAACAATCAATGTCCGCCAACTGCGTACTATATTTATCTTCCTTGCAGAAGTCAGTGAACTTTTGAAGGGATGAGATCAAAAGGGTTATAAATTTTTCCTAGTGTGGGTTACCAGGTGGAATTTTATTTCAGAGAGCGTCTCTACCTTTGAAAGTGTTCCTACTCTGGCTATAAATAAACTTGAAATCTTTAGTTCTTTTTATCGTGAAAGCTACCTCGATTTACTTTGAATTAAGATAAATATCATTTATGTCGAGCACGTGTTTTTGCAATGATGTAAAACATTCGAATGCACATAATTAATTCATTTATTTCTTTTTTTATGGAATTGATGTACCGTGTAAAGTATTTGGTAATCTTTTGGTCGAACGACCGCGCAGAATTATTTCGTGAACGATCTTCGTATGTAAATACTGTCAGTCGAATGGTTACGTTCCATCGTTTCGAAGCTTTACACCGGGTTGCATTTCAGTTTTTCAATCAAAATACAATCAACTGTTTCAATTTGTCTACAACTCCAATCACGCGGCGCATTCTTCCGCTGATAACAGAAATAGAAATGTTTCGGCCGCGAGCAAATATTCGTGTTGTTCCAAATGTTGCTCGTGGTCGATGCTTACTGCACAGTCGCTCTGTGCTCCTTAACCCTGTATCTTCTCCTTGTGCTCGAAAGACCATTCAAACTGGTGTTTGGGAAGGCATAACTCCGTCAAAATTAATCTAATCTCAAAACCTAATGCTACCCTTAAACCTAACCTCGGTTCTCCCTACCAATTGGTCAAGTCAATCCTCCAAGTCGTCACCTTGGCAAGGCGTTTCTTGCCTTTTGCAACATTCCCTCGCTCACCCTGCTTGTCCAGTGTCCAGATACACTACAAAATTGTCTCGAAGGCCTAATCCTAAAAAATAGCGGAGAATTCACGTCCGTATCACAAACCCGCTCGCTGTACCGACCCTGAACAAGAAAGGAGTACCAACCTATCGAAGCTTCTGCTGGAAAATATCTTATCTTCCATTTTACAATAAAATTTTTCGTTCTTTGAATTTTTCGAAGATTACGATATCTTTTACAATTATAAGTGGGAATGATCGTTGTTTATTTTCGTTAATTACACTGCATACTTCTTGATCCAATCAAGGTAAGAGCTGACTCGCGTGTACACGGAAGGATATACCACATTGGCACAATTTCTCGACCAGGATACCAGACCAGCCAGTTTTCCTCTTACCATCAAAGGACCGCCAGAATCGCCCTAAATAGAATGCACATTTCAGTTTTAAATCAGCTAGGTATATTCAGTATATACAAGGTGGGTGTGGACGAGTGATATAACCAGCCACAAATTAATGAAAAATATCGATTAAAGTATTTGGACCCGAAATTTTGTCTGTTCCGTACGACTTGGTAAACGTGCCCGACCATTGCACGTGATTTCTACTTGATATTTTATGTTTCAATTGCTTTGAACCAATTAAGACCAAAATAGCAAGATCGATACGCTTAAAAATAAATTTTTAATACACTCTACCTACCATTTTACCAGTAGTATTTGCAAACATCAATGCAAGTAGAATTAACACGTAATAGTCAGACATGCTCGCCTAGATTTTCTTGATAAATTTTTTTATATTTTTTATTGATTTTAATACAAGGAATTGGTCCATTGTATATCGATGGAATATCACTAACTAAATTGAAAATTTTAATAATGAAACTTACCTTGCAATGCCCCCTTACAGCGTTAGGGTCGTACGCGCACAGATGAGTCTTGTAAATGGTTTGCGAGCCAGCATAAATGTCCCTGCAGTAATCTTGGCTGGCAATTGTGATGTTTACCCAATGCAGAAGATTTGTTCTTTCCGCTTGATACTACAACATTACCTCTTGTTATAAATTCTCGCGTAAGAATTTTAATGGGAACTCGTTGATACTTGAATCGTCGATGCAAACACTTTTTATATTAAATAACTATTTTAGTGCATCGTTTTAACTTGAATAAAGTTTAACATTTACCGAGAGCCAACCGAATCCAGAGACTATAGCTGGGTCATTAGTTTTAACGACTTCATTGCGACCGGGCATGGGCACGAAAGATATCAGAGCAGATTTTACGAACGGGGTTTTCACCTGTGAAATATTTTACATCATTATTTACGGTGTCCGATATTCCGAGCCACTGTAAACGTGTTTTTATTTTTCATTACGAAAGACACCGTTATTTCTAAACAATTTAAAATTGCAATTTTAACTATCGAATTACAAGTTCCCAAAATTGGAACATAACTTTCTGCATTGAAAAGATAAAAATGTTCTTTAAAACAGTGATTATGTAACGATATTCAATAGAAAATTGTACAAAAATAGTGCTTGACAATTTTCTACAATAAAATATAAAATAAAAAAAAAAATACTTTTTTTCTAAATTATATCGTACCTTGATCAGGGCAATGTCGTTCACCCACGTGTCCGAACTATTGTATTTTTCATGAACGTAAAACTTGTTAACAAGATACTCTGATCCTGGCCTCGTCAAATTAACCGTGCCAGCAACTACTTTGATATCTCCTGGTTGCTTGCTGCAAACGATTTAGTGTTTATTCTCGTTTAAAAAATTTTAATATCAATCGAAGAGCATAAAGTCACCACGTTTATTTCACTCGCCTTTCTACACAGTGGGCAGCTGTGATAACGTAGTATTTATTTAAAATCGATCCACCGCAAAAATGTCTAGAGCCATTTCTCAGTTGAAGGGAGATCTGAAAATGCACGTTCTTGGTTTAGAAATTTCACTCTAGATTGAAATGTAACTCGAGAAACTATCGCTTAGGAGACGAGAGGATATTTCGAACTTACTTGGTAAGGAATTTCACCTGGTTTCGCCACTATTCCGTCTATAATTTGTGGCACAGGTCCAGCTGTGATAATATCGACAGTAACAATTATTATAGCAACTTTAGAGTATTCGTAAAGCGAATATTAATCGTTTAGGACATTCGTTACACTCACCGTTGGCCAGAACAAGAATAGTCGTAACGAAAAGTGCAATTAGTAGCCTCATGTTGTTAAGATGTTGTCGCTGCGGAATTATCATAATATTTCTGTTGAAATACAATTGATTTGCAGCATTTATATACTTCATCTGGTTGTAATGAAGATTAGATAAGTAAATAGAAATCAAACAAGATAAGATACGTCACAGACTGCATAAAATCGTTATAAATAATCAAAATAAAGAGTAAATGATATACATATGCACGTAAAGAAGTTAAGAATTACATAACGTGTATAACGTGTACTTTGAACATTTAGAGCGTAATTATAGTTTCGGTGAAAATGTTTAAATGATAAAATAAAATTATATCAAGCGACCTTTAATGTTCCAGTGGAAAGATGTCAAGATACACGACAAATACAAGATCGTTTCGCTATCGCTCAATTGTGGAAGCCTTATCAGTGGGCATAGTGCCAAACGAGGCGGAATGGTGTTGTACAAGAAAGTTTTCAGTGTTCCAATATCGCTTTATCAGATTACCAGCATCTTGTTGCTAGTTTATCTTTAAGTGACCCGTTAAACTACGTTCGCTTTACACGACGATCGAGAACTTATTATTTTTTAACGTGCTCGCTATCAAAGTTTATCGATATCCGTTTGAGAATCACCGATCGAAAGAAACGGCTCGTTATTATTTATCATAAAATCGACAGTGACGAACGAGCTCGAAGGGTAATCCAGTGTGTATCAAACATTTCGAAGCGGATTGACGTTCGTTTTGTGCCCAGATCGTACTTGTCATTCTTTCTGACGGATGTATCGAACGCGTTATTAACACAATCGACGTATCGAAGTGCACGTCGTACACACAGAACGCAGCTTTGGACGTTCTTTACGAGTTCGGAGTTTCCTGCGCCGGAGCACGTTTCCACGGCCTTTTCCTTCGTTTTTTTACCCCGGGCCCTGGCAGTCGTTAAAAAGTAAAGGAACGAAATAAATTACTTGGGTGTGCACAACACCTTCGCCCCGATTCAATCGATTACGTGTTCCGATGGGAAATTATTATATCGGCTGATAAAAACAAAAAAAAAGAAAAAAATGAAGGAAGAGACGAGGCGTTGACGCGTTCGTAACGAGGCAATTAAAAATTAAATTCAAAGAGGAACTTTGTAGAGGGAATTATCTGCAAATACTTCTCCGGAGATGCAAATTTGCGTTTCCGTGGTCGATGGATCGACTGTCGGAGCCAAGTAACGACGATCCGTGAACAATGGGAAATCGTAGTCGGAAATGATCCCTTTGTCGCGACGGTTACGTTTACGGAAACGACTCGTAAACGTAGTTCTTACGAAATTGTAATAAAAGATGAACAAAGCGAGGAAAATCATCGAACGCGAGGAAAAAAAGCGCGTAATTTAGTGGATCGATATCCAAGTAGCAACGTCTGCGGGGCTCGATAACGATTGAACGATTTGCGGCGCCTAAGGCGATCCGAGGCTACGCAGTGAACCGGCAAAAAGGATTGAAATTGGTCCTCTTGGGAATGCTGTTCTTGTTTAATGGAAAGGTTTGGAGGCGTTGCGTGTACGATGCACGAAAACTGCTGTTCGATTCTGAAAAGTAATTAATTTCAAGCTTTATGGCACTCCAATAATGGATAAAAGTACGATCAACATTTTAGGAATGTACAAAATATATACATTTTGTACTCACTTGCAAAGCAAACACATGTTTTGTTTATTTACAACATTGAATTTGTTTTATATAGAGTCAAGAATACCAATTTGTTGATTGAGGCTTCGATAAAAAGTTGTTAATGTTTAAAGTTCCATTCTGACCGGAAAATTTTGTCGGTGAAATTGAAAAGTTTCGAATCGTTCTGGAAAAATTATTTTTTGTTGCGGGGGTCAATTACAATCATTTTTGGTGGATACACATACCCTCGAAATCCTATCCACTTTCAAGAAAAAAAAGTTAGGGGCTGGACAAATTTTTCGACAAAATTAAAAAATTTCAAATCGTTTTGAGGAAATTATTTTCGTTTGAGGGAGTAAATTACAATCATTTTTGGTCAATAGACATACCCCCGAAATCCTACGCACTTTCGAGAAAAAAATTAATTACCAAAAATTTCACGCCTGACCATACATTGATACGTTTCCCTGAAATTTTATGTGTATGTTTAAATCATCATAACTTCTGAACGGATTGGAGGATTTTAATGTCTCAAAAGGCAAACATCGCGTATTTTAGTCAAGAATATGTAGAAATTTTCAAAATCTTCGAAAAGTTATTCCTTGACCACGTAAAGGGAGAAAACTCCCACACAAGTGGTCCAATTTTCGAACGACCATAACTCCTTCAATAGTGCACGTATCTCATTTAAATTTAGTAGGGAAGGGGACAGGTGCTTGAATTTTTCGGCGAAAAAAAAATTTCAAATCGTTCTGAAAAAATTATTTTTAGTTTCATAATTTTTGGTGAATAGATATACCCCCGAAATCCTACACAGTTTCGAAAAAAAAAACTCGTAAATACGTCTTGTCTCTATGGCGGTTGGCACGAGACTCGGGATTGGAATTTATCAAAATTCCTGGGTGATATTTTACATTTTATTTTGGTATTTCCATTACGATTAAAACTATAATTTTTATTCTATATATAATTAGCGAAACTTTGTTGGAAGTTTGTGTTTGGGCAAGAATTTTGTTCTTTGTTTCCTTCGCCCCGTGGAGGTTGCCGACCCTTGGCCTAGACGATAGTCTAATTACATAGACTCATCCTCGTCGTTCACTTCTCCACACTGGGCCATTGCATCGAGGATCTTGTTAAACTTGTTGAGCTATATGTGTACATGGAACGTAGAAACGGAAATCAGTGCCTTAATGAAATGACTGCAACCACCCCTTCTGTCTCTGGCTTCGTCTGCTACCCCTATCCGTCAATTTCCTGATTTAATCATAATTATTTCGCTCGGTAATTCGTATTTCTCTCGTGACGTTCTTCGTCTACGAGGTATCTGAAAGTTATCGATGCGAGGGTCATCGCTCACTTAAAATATCTATTACTTTCAACCCTTAAATTTCCCATCGATCACAATTACAAAAATACGTGGCTCTCGGATTTTAGAGTTTCGGAACCGTGACGAGCGAAAACAGTTTCGTATTTTAAGAGGAACAAAACCGTTTTGGAACACTTGGGCAACGCCTTTCGCGAGTCGAAAGTCTCCGTCTTGGTGCACGTTCATCTCCTACAATGGAATTCTCGTTTTACGTAAAACGAGAGGAACGGTAAACGCAATTGTAACTTCGCCAGTTTACCCTCGGCCGTATTTTGGGAAAGTAAAAACCCCTTGAACTTTAAAGCAAAACATTTTACCAGAAGGGATAGCTTTGGCAACGGAACGATCCCATTTGTCTACGAAACGCGAATCTGTAGAGTTCGTTCCTTTATCATACGGCTCTGACAGGTTGATATCTCGCGCGAACTGGATGTTTAGATATACGGTCGCATAGCTCATCGATCTCTCATTTTTCTTTTTTTCATTCTGTTCGATGCATCCGATTTCAGAGACTGATAGATAAAATGCGTCGCAGTTGGAATTGTTCTTCTTGCGCTGCAATTATGATCGACGCAGCTGCGTCCCGCGTGCGAACGAAATTGAAACACGCGGATAATTTGTCGCGAGCAGCGCCAAAGAATTCTTTAAAAAATATTTCACGCTCCTTCTCACAGTGAAATTATATCGGTATTATCGTTAAATTACAAGCACTCAACGGTTAAAAGAAAAAGATCGCATCCACGCCTATTTTATCACTAGAACTACCGACAATTATAGTGTGTTTATTTGTACCAAGGAAATTGAAACGATAGGTGCGCGAAGAAATGTATAATGCAATGAAGACAAGCGTTTATTCATTCTCTTATAGAAAATTACGGTAAATTTCCAAAAATTCGGTCGAGTAAATTTTTTACAGGTGTTATTAAAAATTAGGAATGGGTCATTTTGACTGGTTTGGTAGTTCTACTGTTAAATGATCTCCAAAATAATAAAATTCACGTGAATTTTTAATCAATGATCGACATTTTAAATTCGTATTGTCAATTGGTTGGCGAAACCACCGTTCGCGTATAGTTCTCGAAGAGCAAAAGTGCGATACAGAGGATTCATAATTTCCAATCGGTTACAAGAAACTGTTTAAACTCGGTGTGCAAATAATTGAAGCGGGCAACGAGTATCGGAAAAATGCTAATCAATTCCGTCTGTTGCTCGGGTCGTATAAAGTTTTTTCTCTGCCTGATTCCACACGAAGCGCTTTCCAAGCCTTTGTCGCTAGTCTTTCGACTCACGTTTTCTTCCAAACGTCGATTGGAAAATTGAATCAACTAATGTGGTCGCGGTACGCTGTTTTCTCATAGTTTTTGCGTCCCGGCGATCATCCTTTCGTCCAGAACGTGACGGATCACTTTTGTCAGAGTCGACGTTCCAGAAAGTTAACAGACCTTTCGCTCATAAATTATTACTTATCTTTATTATTTTCTTTCCATATACTTGAAATTTTCGGTGCGTAGTATTATTATACAACTACCTTTTGCCCGCGGCTTTGCTCGCACAGGAAACAAGCTCCCATTCACCTCTATAGAGTTCGAATTTTACGTCATGTCGCCATCTAACATTTCAAAATTGATACCATTTTCGTAATTAACGTCACAAAAAACCTTCATAATGACACCCATACCGATATTTAGACGTATTTACACCATTGCAACGGTTTAGTGATAATATAATAATTACGTACTTACATGTTAAATTTAAAGTTTCTAGATCCATTTACGGAAATAAGGCAACTTTCATGCGAAATAAGTGTATCAATGAGCATTCGAACCAAGTATCAGGTAAATCCGACCGTAAATAAAATATTCCTCATACAAACGTTGCAACCCCTTTTCATCCCTTCAGAGGTTGAATTTTTTAAAAAACCGGAATAAATGTTTGAGTAACTATGTCAAAGAGCATTACGACCAAGTTTCAAGTAAATCCGATTGCGAATAAAATATTCCTCATACAAACGTTGCAACCCCTTTTCATCCCTTCAGA